GGGGGCGGCCCGAGGGGCACCCATCATCGCGCTGCCTTCTTCCGGGGGGGAGGGCAGGGGGACACCTGCCCAGGCAGGGGCGCAAATGGTAAACCCTGGCCCTGTGGGTGGCTGACTCATCTCGGCTGTGGATGAGATTGGCCGGAGTGCGAGGCCCGCGGGGCGGGCCGGCCAGCAGAAAGGGGGGGGGGGGGCGGGCGGCCTGCCGACATGTGCGCCAGGCCTCGGGAAGACGCGCGAAGGCGCCCTTGCGCAAACGCTCCCAGCTCCAGTCCGGCCGGGCCCATTATCCCGGGCTGCGCGGGGGCGGGGGCCGACGGGCGCGGAGCCGCACGCGCGCGCGTGCTTCTGCGTGCCCCGCAGCCGAGACACGTTCCCGGCGGCCGCGGTCCGCGGGCATGTCGACGCGGTCCGCACGCCAGATGCCAATGGGCGCTTCCTAGATGGCCCCATTGACGCCGAGGGAACCTAAAACCTAGAGGGCATCGGATTTTCCCGCTCGCGCGACTCTATCCGCTGGCCGTGTGGCTGCGTGCGGGCCGCGCCCGCCCTCCCCTCGGGACACCCTCGGCGTCCCCCGCGAAGGGGGCATTCCGGGAGGGGGGGGGGGGGGACGTCTGCCTGTGAGGCCGAAAAGACCAGCCCCCTTCGGTGGGGAAGAGGGCGGCCGATATAATCCCGGGGAGGGGCCCCCCCCCCGTCCCCCTGCCGGGAAGCGCAGGGGCGCGGTGGTGTGGACGGGCGCTGCTGGTCAGGTGGGTAGGGCCCCGGGAGGGCGGCGGGCGGCAACACGGACGGCGACTGCTCGTGCGCGAGGGGGGGCATTCACCGCCGGGACTGCAGAGCCGCAGGGGTCAGGGCTCAAGCCGCGGGCGAGACCAGACAGGCGGTCTTTTGCGCACGCGCACGCGACCCAGGGCTACCGGCCGATGGATGTGCTCCGCACGCACGCGTGCGCTGGCGCGCCCTGAACGGGAGCCGGCCTCCGTACGCATGGGGAATGCCCGCTTCTACACTCCCCGTTCCGTGGCGCATCCCCTCTTTTCCCCTCCCTCTCATCCGCGTAAGTCCACACGCCCTCCTCTCGCCTCCCGAACCACCCAGTCGCCCGCCTGCCCGCATCCTTCCGTCCACTTTCTTCCTCCCGCCCTCCCACACAGCCACACAGCCACACGCCCCGTTTGCGACCTGCCGAGGCACCCTCGCACCCGCCCGCGTGTCATTCAGCGCCTGCCTCCGCCCTCTCCCCGCCGAGCCACGCGATCGTCTCCGGTCCCCTTCTGCCCCTCCCGTGCGTCGCCCACCTGCTCTGCCGTTGCCGCCGCCGTGTTGCCGCCGCCGCCGTCGCCCTCCTCATTTCCCCCCTCGTCTATTCTTGCCCATCACTGACATTCCCCCGCCTTCGCAGACCCTGCCTGCTCTCCTCTCACCGCCCGGTCCTACTGCTGTTGGTCCTGACTCGCCTGCCCCCCCCGCCCGCCCCCCCCCCGCCCGCTGGCGCGCCACAGCCCGCAACCATGAGCAACAACTGCCGCATGTACCAGAACAAGTACCCCGCGGTCGATGACCTCGTCATGGTCAACGTCCGCCAGATCGCCGACATGGGCGCCTACGTGGAGCTGCTCGAGTATGACAACCGCGAGGGCATGATCCTCCTGTCGGAGCTGTCCCGCCGGCGCATTCGCTCCGTGCAGAAGCTCGTGCGCGTTGGCCGCCGCGAGGTGGTCGTTGTCCTGCGTGTCGACCAGGACAAGGGCTACATTGATCTTTCCAAGCGCCGTGTCACCCCGGAGGACGTCGTCAAGTGCGAGGAGCGCTACAACAAGTCCAAGGAGGTCCACAGCATCCTGCGCCACGTCGCCGAGAAGCTCCAGGTCAACCTGGAGTCTCTGTACGAGCTGATCGGCTGGCCCCTGTACACCACGCACGGCCACGCCTACGACGCCTTCAAGATGGCCATCCTGTGCGTGTACCATGCCCGACCCTGCTGCTCGCGCGCCCTCTGGCCGGACATCCTGGCCCGGCCGTGTGCCATGTTCGGCGGCCGCGCCTCTGCCGGTGACTCCCCAAGCTGACCTCGATCCGACCACACACGCCCTTCCCCCCCTCCCCTCTCTCCCTCTCTCCCTCTCCCCCTCTCCCCCTCTCCCCGGCACAGCGAGCCCTCCATCATCACCGAGGCCTTCGAGGAGAACTTCGCGCGTCTGTCCGCCGAGCAGTCCCCCCACGTCCAGGGGCTGCCCGAGAAGAGCGTCATCCTCGATGAGCTGGCCGCCATCGTCGGCCGCCGCATGACCCCGCAGCCGGTGAAGCTGCGCGCCGATCTGGATCTCACCTGCTTCGGCCCCAAGGGCATCGATGCCATCATCGAGGCCATCAAGATCGGTGAGCGTGAGTCCACCCAGGTCGAGGGGGAGCAGGTTGACATCAAGGTGCGTGTGTGCCGTGGCCCGGCCTTCCTGCGCTTCCGCCTCGCACGCGCGCCCGGGCGTGCACGCGCGCGCGCGCACACACACACACACATCACCCCCACCCCCTCAAACGCCTCCTCTCGCTCACCACCCCTCTCATCTGACACACGCGCACGCGCACGCACAGATCAAGCTCATTGCCGCCCCGATGTACGTCATGACCGCCCAGTCCATCAACAAGAACGAGGGCATCCGGCTGATGGAGGAGGCCATCACCAAGATGACCGAGGCCATCAAGGCGGAGGAGCGCGGGAACCTGGTCATCCGCATGCGCCCCCGCGCCATCAACGTCGAGGACGAGCGCCAGCTGGCCGAGCTCATGCTTGCCGCCGAGAAGGAGCAGGCCGACACCGACGACTCCAGCGACTCCGACTAAATATACACATACCGTCGCTGCCGCGCGGCAGTATCATGTCCTCCTGTCCTGTCCCCCACAGTGTCCTTTGTTGTTGTTGTTGTTGTTGTTGTTGTTGTTGTTGTTGTTGTGCGTGTCCGGGCACGGAGCGCGGGGGCGGGGGGCGGGGCACAGGGCGGAGGGCGCGTCGGGCGGCTGTGTCGGCCGAGAGGTGGCTGGGTGGGACCGTGGCGCCCGGCGCGCCCGCCGGGTGGCTCCGCCTCTGCCGGGTGCATGTGTGGCCCCCGGGTGGGCGCCTTCTGCCCCCTTGCATCGCCATGTTCCTTTGCGTTTGTTGCGCTCCTCCGTCACTCTTGTCTGCCTCAAGCGGGGGAGGGGGTGGGCGAGCGAGCTATCGTCCGCTGCCTGTGCGATGGCCCTTTTCTGCTCTCTGTTTGCTGGTCCCCGCGCATGCCCCGGCCGCTCCCCGGAGACCGTCAACACGGGGAGGCATCTGCCGGTCCCCCGGCACGCGGACTTGTCCCATACCCGCCCGGTGCTGGGAGCTTCTCGAGGCAAAGCGGGAGGGCATCGGGGCTGGTGCGCGCCGCGCCGGCGTCCCCCGCCCCGGACTAAGACGCATTTGCGCAGGATATACCCCCCGTGCGCGCGGAGAAAGCCCGGCCGCATTGGCTCCCAATCAGCGCGGAACCCGAGGCTGCTATAGCAGCACCGACGCTATTCGCGGAATGTCATTCTCAGGGCGTTTCTTGGACTCCCCCAGAATTGGCCCAAAGGTTGGCACATGCCAGCCGCTGACGATCTTGCGCGTTGCGCGCGGAGGGGGGGGGGGGGGGACTATGCGCCCAGCGGCTGGGAGGCGCCCTGTCCGGGGCATGCGCGCGCTTTTCGCCGCACACGCGCGCGCGCCTTGGATGGCGATGTCCCACTTGACTCCGCCCTGCATGGGGGGCCGCCCTTCATCGGTTGGTAACGTCGGTCGCGCGGCGCGGCGCGGCGCGGCATCCGGCTCCGGGGCGTCTCCGGCCCACGTTGGACCCCGCGTTGGTCAGATCCCCCGGGACCCGGCACAGGGTTGTGGGCGTTCGCCCCGGGGCCTACACATGCGGCGCTCGCGCAGGGCACGCAGGGCTGGTCCCCCCCCCCCCTCGCCGCCCTCTCGGCTGGGTGACTACTGACTCATCGCCATGCGATCTGGCTATGGGATGTCGTGTCATTTGCACAGCGTCCCTCCTCCTCCTCCTCCTCCTCCTCCTCCTACCCTGCCCCCACTCTTGCTCGCGTTTCCCCCCTCCCCTCCCCTCTCCCCTCTCCCCTCCCCGTCTCACTCTCGCCCCGTCTCTCCGTCTGGCCGCGGCTCTCCTTCCCCCTTGCAGCCCCTCTCTCCCCCCTCCCCTCCCCGGCTCGACGTGCGCTAGTGCACACGAGGGCCACGAGCCGCCGGAGACCAAGTCCCCCCTTCCCCCTTTCCACCCATCGACCTTCCTCTGTCGCAGGCTTGGGCATGTCGCGCATGCTTGCCCTCGCGGCGCGAGTCGCCGGGGCCCAGCGTGCTCGGCCCATTTCACCGGCACTCCTGGCGCACCCCCGGCGGTGCTTCAGCGCGCGGGCTCAGCCCGCTCCCCCGGCGAATGCCACCTCCCCGGCCGATGCCGTCTCCCGGACCAATATCTCGCCGGCGTTCCTCCTGCGGCGCAGCTCCACCCGGCCATACCCGACCACGAGTATCTTCAACTGGCTGAAGCTCTGCTTCCAATACAGTCCGTGGACCTACGAGGCGCTGCGATCGGCGGCCCAGGCCATGGTGACCGCCATGCGACAGGCCCCGGCCGGGGGAAAGAAGGCCGCACAGGTGGCCTTCCGTCCGTACAACACCCTGGTGGATGTGGACGAGCAGCTCCGGCCCTTGCTAACCAAGACGCCGCCCCTGTGGAACCAGGGGCTTTGGCGGTTGCTGCACCAGGGGGAAATCGACTTGCCGCCGGACTCGCGGCCGGTCGATTTCAACGACCGCGTCGTGTCGCTCTTTCATCTGCTGTCCGATCCGGACTTCTTCCGGGCCAGCACCACCTCCTTGAATTTTTTCCACCAGTACACCCACCTCAAGCGGTCATCCTTCGGGCACCTGCTGATGATCGAGAACGGTGACTTCCTGGAGTCCTTCCTGTCGGATGCCATTTTGTGCGTTGCTGGCGAGTCTCTTGCGGCCCTTTTTGCCGTTCCCCGGGCGGAATGTGTGCAGCTGTCATCTGCGCATGCTCAGATGCTGACCCCCTATTTCCCCCCCCTCACCTCGCTCTTGCTCCGGTCGTTGTCGTCGCTGTCGTTGTCGCTGTCACACTACCACCACCGCCATCGTGCCACGCATTGATAGGATCTCCAACGCCGGTGTGTCGAAGCTCACTCAGCGGTATACCTCGCGCATCCCGGCCACTGGGTCGCCTGTGACCACGCTGCCAGCGGTGTTGAAGCGCCTCTTCGCTCACAAGCATACGGTAGCCATTGCTCGACAGGTATGTGTGTGTGTGTGTGTGTGTGTGTGTGCTTAGCGTCTGGCTCCCCTGCTTCTCTCTCTCTCTCTCTCTCTCTCTCTCTCTCTTCCTCCCGCCTTTGGTCGTACCTGGCCTCTCTGCTGACTGCCTGGAATCCACCCGCCGGCCTGCCCGTTGGCCCTTCAAACCATCCGCCTGTCACGGACCTCGTCGTTTCCTCGCATCGTCTGCCTCCATGCCCGGCTGTCTCTTCCCTCTCTCTCTCTCTCCCTGTGTTTCCCCCTCCCGGTCCCCTCCCACGGTGTCTGTGCTTGCTCTCCCAATCACCAACCCACAGGGCCCGCTGACCACGCCTCCCGGGTCCAACTCGCTGGTGGTACCACGGTCCATCTCACGATACTACACCCCGGGCACCCTGCTGCATCATGACATTGGCGAGAATGAGACATCCACTCTGATGACGATCTCGCGCATTCCCCGTGGGCGTGCGTTCCCTCCCTCCCTCCCTCCCTCCCTCCCTCCATGGTCCTGGCCGCCCTCACTCCTCGGTCTCCCCTCTCGCTGACTCCCCCCGCTCCCCGGCCACAGGAAAGCGCTTCAGTTACGGCGTGGTTCTCACCGACCTGTCGGCCGCCACGATGCGCACCTTCACCTGCGAGGACACCGGAAAGCTGCAGGAGCTGATGGACCAATTCTGCCCATCGGAGATCCTCTTGCCGTTGGAACAGGCCGAGGTCTTCGAGCACATGGGCCTGGAGCAGAAGTACTTTGTTTCGTACACATCGCCGCCGAATCTGCAAGATCTGCTGCTCTCCTTCGGCGGGGTGCCGGCCGTTGAGGCCAATGTCAACCATTTGCTGGAGCAATTCCACCGATTGCCGCTTTCGCTCATGGGTGATGTCAACCTGCCGCCGATGGCTGCGGTGTCGGTGGCCGCGACGTCCCCCAATTCCCAGGGGGGCGCGCTGGCGGCGGCGGCTGCCACGGCCGAGAACGCCACGCTCGGCCTCTTGCGGGGGCAGCCTTCCGCCCAGTCGCCCGGGCTGACAACGCACCAGGTCCAGGCGCTGGATCGGTTCGGTCCGTTGATCGAGGACATTGTGACCAATTCCTTCGTCAACATGGCCCTCAAGACGCACCTGGCTCCGCCGTCATTCACCCTGCCGACAGCGGCGGCCTTCGAGCCGGGGGCCATCGCCAGCACGGCGGCCATGTTTGCCGGGGACAAGCTGTGGCTGGACCTGTCGGCCCTTTCCCAAGCCGAGGTGCTGGCTCTGGCTCAATCCTTCAAGTACCTGCACCATGTCTTCCAGTCGACCGACCTGCCGATCTTGTCGCTGCTGCCCGGGTCGCGGGACCAAAATCAGACCGCCATGCGCATCGACCCCTTCACCTCCCGGGCGCTGGATCTGCACCTGTCATCGTCGGCCCTGCTCAGCCAAGACGCCAATGTCACCACGACCAATCGCTTCCGGAACATCCACTTCGGCTCGCTCTTCGGGTCGCTGGACACCACCGAGACTCGCTACGGTCGGTCCAAGCTCCTGGAGGTGACCATGAGCCCGCTGACCGACACGCGGATCATCAACCAGCGCCAGTCCATGGTGGAGTTCTTTGTGCAGAATCAGGCATATCTTGGGCAATTCCGCGACGCCCTGCGCGAGCTCCGCACCCTGGACCGGCAGTTGAATGTCGTCAGCACCCAGAAGCCCAGCCTGGCCATGTTCCAGGCTCTGATGGCCTCCTTCGATCGGATCAGCGCCCTGCGAGATCTGCTCACGCAGATGATTGCCCTGTCACCGGAGGTGCGCCCTTATTTCCCCCCGGAGACTGGGGGCGACGAGGCCGGGGCGCGTGGGCGCACGGCTGTGTGGAGGGCGTCTGTCTTTCTTTTGCCGGCCGTGCTCGTTGTGCCTTTTTCCTTTTTCCCCCTTCCCTCCATGACTGCCTTCCTTTTGGATGTCGGTGCCTTCCCTCCTGCCCGGGCATTTCCCCCCCCCCCCCCCCCCCGGCGCGCGGCTCTCATCCCCTCCCCATGGCGGCCTCCTCGCCTGTCCCATGAGGCCCGATCTCTGACTGTTCCTCCTTTTCTCCCTGCCCCTGCGTCGCCTTGTTTGCCGGCCTCCATGTCGCCCTGGGCGCTGGATTGCTGCTGGCGCCGGGGGACCGGCTCTTGACTCCCTCGCGCCTCGGGTTGTTCCGTGTGCTCGCCCCCCCCCCCCCCCTTTCATAGCCCATCTCGGAAGACATCTCCAGCATCCTGGGGGGCATCGTCAACGATCTGGATGAAATCCCGCGCGAACTGGTGCAGACCCTGCGGCAGACATTCATCTCGCGCAAGGATGACCCCACGTCCGACGAGCCGCCCTTCGTCGTGCACCCGCACGCGTCAACCCAAATGGCACAGCTACACTTGGACTTGGTGTCGGTCGTCCGGCAGATCAACCTCTACATGACCTCACTCTGTCGGTCGACCGGGCTGGGCATGGGGTTCTCCCTGGTTGAGCAGGAGCTGGCCGGCCTTTTCTTGGTCGTCTCGCCGGTGCTGGCCCAGCGCATTGGGCTGGATCTGGCGGCCCTGAACCGGGACTTGGCCGTGCATCCGACCCTGGCGATGGCGGCCGTGTCCGGCACCGTGCTGGCACCGACGCGGACGCACTTCGACGGGACGACGGTCAATCCGGCGGTCTGGGCCACGCGGGTGGTCATCCCCCCGGCCTGGACTCCGATCCGGCTGCCGGCGGAGTTGCAGCTGGATGCCAGTGGGTGCTTCACCACCCCGAGGCTGTTGGAGCTGCACCAGCAGCTGGTCGACACCCGGCGGAGTATCCTGACCCTGGAGCAAGATATCCTGGACTGCCTGCATCAGTCGGCCATCCAGCAGGTTGGCATTCTGCAGAAGATCATCTACACCGTCAGCTGGCTGGATGTGCTGAGCAGCTGGGCCTTCAATGCGGTGCAGCTGAATTACAGCCGACCGATTGTGGACAACTCGCTGGCCTTCGACATCATTGGTGGCCGGCACCCGGTGCTGGAGCTGTCGGTGGCCGGGCGCCTGCACGAGCAGCGAGGCTACTACCTGCGTGGCGGGCCCCCGACAGCGGCCGGCGGCGGTGGTGGGGGGACGTCCGCAGAGCCGGATGCCCCGATCAAAACCGTGGCGGCGGCGGCGGCGGCAGCGGCGGCGGCGGCGACGACGACAGCGGCGGCGACCGCCAACAAGGCCGGCCGACGGAGCCCCGGCCAGCGGTCCGCCTCGGAGGAGGGAGTTCCCGCGTCGACCATTGTCACCGGGCCGACCGGCATGCAGTTACACAACGACCACCAGTCGATTTTGTCGCTTCTCGGCGCTCGCGGCGCGAGGGTGCCCTTCGGCCGGGATAGGGACCAGGCGGCATCCGGCTCCGGCTCGGCGGCCGGCAAGAGGGCCACACACAACTTCATCAAGAACGACTGCAACCTTTCGGAGCGGCCGCTGCTGTACATTACCGGGGCCAACATGGGCGGCAAGTCCACCTACCTTCGGCAGAATGCCCTGATCGCCATCATGGCCCAGATGGGGTCCTTTGTCCCGGCCACCCGGGCGCACATCGGCGTGGTGGACCGGATCTTCGCGCGCATCGGCTCGGCCGACGACCCGCTGAACAACCAGTCCACCTTCATGGTGGAGATGTCCGAGGCCAGCATGGCCTGCAATGAGGCGTCCCCACGGTCGCTGGTCATCATGGACGAGCTGGGCCGCGGGACTTCCCCCGAGGAGGGGGCCGCCCTTGCCTTCTCCGTGCTGCGGTACCTGCACCAGCAAACCGGCTGCCGGATGATCTTTGCCAGCCACTTCCACTCGTTGACCCCCTGGCTGAAGCTGCTCGGGGGGGTGTCCTTCTCTCGGTTTGTGGCCCACAAAAACCCGGTACGTGTGGCGCATGATCTGAATGTCGGGGCTCTGTCCCCCCTCTCATGTCCCGTGCTGTGGGCCGGCTGTCACCATGCGGCGCGTTTCCTGACCATCGTCTCCCCCCTTCTTTCCTTCTCTGTCTGTCTATTTGTCTGTCTGTCTGTCTGTCTCTCTCTCTCTCTCCCTCCTCGCCCCTCTCATTCCCCTGCTGCGTCGGTCGTTTTTTCTGGCCCCTCACAGGAGGACAGTTCGCGCCTGTACTTCCCATACCGCCTGGAAGCCGGCGCGGCGGACACCTCCTACGCCACGTATGTGGCCCAGCTGTCCGGTACGTTGCCCCTGCCTGCCTGCCTGCCTGACCCGATCCCACTCGTGCGCCGGTCCGACTGACCTTCCCGGCTTTCTGCGCACTTCCCCGGCCCTCCTTCGCGCTCTCCCCCCCCCCCCCCCTCTCTCTCCCTCTCTCTCCTCAGGTATGCCGAAGGAGCTGATCCGCGATGCGGACGCCTTCTTCGCCTTGCAATCTAAAGCCGACGAGCCCCCCTTGATGTTGGATCACGCACACCAGGCCGTGACTCCCGACGTCGAGCGATTCCTGTCGAAGATCCACACCTCGCGCTTCCCGCTTTCGCAGAAGTCCCCCCCGCGTTGTGACGTCAAAAAGTGAGCACCTCTCCCTGGCTCTTTCCCCGCCGGCCGGGCATCCTCCCGGATCTTCTTCGCCTCGCTCCCTCTGCCCTTGTTCCCTCCCTTTCTCTCTCCCCCCCCCTTCCCTTTCCTCCTCCCATCCCTATCTTCAATAGACATTAGACCACAGTGGTTCGATCCCATCAAACACTTGGCACATGTGTGTGTGTGTGTGTGTGTGTGTTTCCTGCTGGTGTTGTTTAGTCACCACAGGCCCTCCCCCGCGCCCCCGATGAAGCTACCACCGCACTGACTCCCTTCCCGCCCGCCTGGCCCATCGCCCGTGGCGCGGCCGTCCGACGCTTGGCAGCAGGGAGAGCCGCAAGACGGCGCGAGACGGTGCTGCCACGCATCTTGGCTTGGAGGAGGCCAAAAAAAAAAAGGAACACAAGAAGAGGCCCAGACGGAGGGGGGCAGGGGGGGAAATACTGCCGAGTACAGTGGTCCATTTGTTGGCCTGCGACCCCGATCCACCAGGGGGGGGGGGAGGAGAGAGCTGTCGGCGCAAACTGGGCACGCATGCACTTGCCTGGGGCCAGGTGGGAGGTGCGCATGGGAGTGGCCAAGAGGGGCGAATCACTTTTCGAGGGCCGCCTTGTCGCCGTCGTGGTGGTCGCCGGAGGCCGGCAGGAACGACCGGCTGAAGGCCAGCTCACGCTCGATGTCGGCGACCAGGGCGTTCACCGCGTCGCGGGTGCTGCCCTCGGCCTGGGCGAAGAGCCCATACCGCTCGACGACCGGGGCCAGATGGGGCTCGGCGGTCAGGGCCTTGCGCAGCCGGGCTTCCAGGTTGCGGCGCTCGATCCTGCGGAGAAACGGGGCCAAGAGGGAGAGGGAGGGAGAGAGAGAGAGGAAGAAGGGAGGCCACGCCACGCGGGCAGGCACATGCATGCGCAAAGGCAGGTTAGCATGGCGGAGGCCGGCGCACATTCGGGCGACACGCCCCGCGAACAGCAAAGGGGCAAGCGATCCACCAAGACAAGGTGGCGGAGGATATGGCAGGGAGGACGCACAGCGAAAACTCCTCCATAGGAGACCCCTCGCGGCCGGTGACCACAAACCATGTCAGCATGGCCCCGGACACGGCCAGCCCCGAAAGGTAGGTCATCGGCTCGACCATGTCCCAGCCCAGGGGGCCATACGTGAGCCAGGCCGCAGCCCCGAGGTGCCCGACGAATGCACCGAGGAAGAGGACCTCTGCGCGCGGCCGAACCGAATGTCAGCACGTCATGCCCGGCAAAAAGGGTCAAAGGGCGGGCGGATCCGGGCCCGGGGAAGGCCGGCCCGGCCATCGGGACGCACCGTTGGTCTTGCGCTTGGAGCGGGCCTTCTTGGCCGCGCGGTTGGTGGCCTCCAGCACGGGGGCCAGCTCGCGAAGCTTCTCGGTGTTGGCCTGGTGGCTCTCGCTGACCCAGGCTGGCATGGTCGACAGGCGCATGGCGCACGGCCGGGGGAGTGTGTCAGAGCATGGGCAGGGGCGCAGGTGCGTGTGCGCGCGCGAGCCCGCCGGCATGGCCGGAAGCAGAGAGAGAAATAGAGAAAAGCACACACACACACACACGCATGGGGAAGGGCAGACGCACTCAAAAAAGGGGCAGTATTGAGGGCCAGGGAGGCAGGGCCGACCTTCACCTGAGGCAGGCCTGTCCCGGCCGGCTGGAGGAGCTGCCGCACAAAGGTGGCCCCGGTGGGCAGGGCGACCTGGGACTGGGGAACCCGAAGCTCGGACGCCAGGTCGGCCAGGAGACTGGCCACCGGCAAATCGAGCGGCACAAACATGCTGACGGAGTTGGCCTGGCCCGGGAGGCTGGCGGTCGGGACCAGCAGCTGGACGATGTCCATGCGCCCGGGGATTGCGCTCACCACAATGGCCGGCTTGTCCTGGCCGGCGGCCGTGGCGGCCGTGGCGGCCGCCGCAGAGGCAAAGGTCCGGAGCGGGCCGACCGGGCGACCGGCCAGCGGGCCGCGCAGGAGGACACGAGAAAACATCGGGAAGGGCGGCGCGAAGGGGACGGGAGGGGGGGGGGGCGGGGGCG